CGTTGACCTTTCAGGCATGATTGAATCTACGGCTGTGAGAAGCCATCCTGTGTAGCTCGCTAGGTCACTGAGGCGCGCAAGCCATCACATCACGTCAAGGTGCAGTCTCGTCGTGATGGCGTATTGCTTATTAGTTGGAACAGTGTTTGACTATTTCTTGATGCAGCCGCTACTTCTATTTCACTGGCTGTTGTTGACCANGACCGCCATATCAATGAGTTTTATATCACCGTAGATGGTTTTACCCGCCCCATCCCCCTGTTTTTGAATCGGGATCACAATCGATGTTCAGTTTTGGGGAAAATTCCAAGCATCCCAGATGTATTGAAAACAGCATGGCCTTTGGTCTAGTAGAGCTAGCAAACAGACTTTGCGGATTTCAAGTCAAACGCCGTTTTTGTCGAAAATTCTGTGTATTTCATCGCCATCGCCATGATAGCGGTACTAACCTCTGATCTGGTACGTGGTGATCCCAGGTTGAGTTTATGTCCCGGTTTATACAGTTGGTTTGGGAGGAAAAGAGCATTGTAGCAGGTAGCTTAGACGTTCGACCCATCTTCGTAGTTTTCGTGCATCTCCAGGGATGCTGGGAATCATTTTCGTTTCGTAGTTAATAGGATGGGATTTACGTTTTTCCTGAACCAATGCACACCAGTTCGATTGGCTGCCCCAAGTCTCCCACAGCTGTTTTTTTTTTCAGTCCGTGCTGTTAATCCAGACCAATATCGTTCACGGTCATTGTTCGCTAATCGTTCAACTTCTCGACGATTGGAAATTGAGTGTGTTGTGCGGAGTCTTTCCACCTCTGCCTTTGCACCGCGGTTAGGAATTCATCCTGAGACTTAGTGCTTGTTCTGTCGAGGTGTTTTTTCTCCCATTGCTCAAGGGATGATCCTACGCCGACCGGTTAATGCATACAAACGTGACCAGCCGTTCAACATTGTGGCATCTTTTTCCAAAACCGAATTGCCCCAGTTTAAGTCGCGTACACCTATCTACAGGCCCACATGGGCGTTCCCACTACCCTGTAAATAATGGAAGTTTGATTGATTGAGCTCTTGGGTTTGTTTTGATGTTCGGATCAACTTGTAGGTTTTGTTCATAGACTAGTTGTCGTCACATTAAATGGTGTACATTGGGGAAGTTGTTTTCCCAAAGTTCAGAGCACAGGCCTCGACCGTTTCTCGAAATGACAGTCTCACGAAGCCCGGAGTTGTGAATGGACCAACTATGTTGCGTCCAGCAGGATACGCCTGCATGAAGTACTCGGACATGTCTGATAAACAGGTTATGTCGATTCTGTAATAGTAGTGTGTGCATGCCTATGCATTGTCTGTTTGTGTCTAAAATATTATTACATTGCAACATCATCATCATGGTACGGCAAAGTACAGTGAGGCAAACTTCACTGATCGCTGCCAAACTCGCAATGCATACAAGGTTAGTGATAAAATTTAAGGTGGACAAGGATTGGATCTATTTTGACGAACGGAGAAGAAGATGAGCCAGCATGGTCAACACACAGTACGCAATCGAACTCTGCATACATACCGTTTCAAGCATTCTGACCTGATAAGAAACGACAACAAGAACGTCACTGCTGCCGGTTCGCTGCCATATCCTTCAATGTCTCCAACCAACCGGTTGTGGTGTCTTTCGGACCCCAACCTGGAAAGCGAGAGACACCTACTGTACCTAATGGCTCTGTGCATTTCTTCATGCCTCGTCTCCGCGTCATCTGTTGACCTCCTCGTGCTTTCCTCTTACCCGGAGCGGCAACAGTGAATAAAGTGCGATGCCGCAGACGACAGCTGGACATATGCAATACGTGCTTTAGCCACCGAAGCCTAGTAATCTGAATTCGGTGTGCCAGCAGGTGTATCCCTGATAAACTCTCAAACACACGACGGCTTACCTCCAGAAATCACTGGCCGGTTAACTCCATCCCATGTAGGCTAAACTACTTGAACATCGATAATCAAAAAGTTCTAACCGATGGTTATCTTCTGCTCGTAAATTCAAGTCCTTACAACCATTAAGGAGGACTGAACCAACGCTAGCACAATATACACGATCGTTCAACTTCATTGAAACGTCGTATATTTTAACGAGGTTTATGGAGCGCTGACTGGATGTTGAGGCTCCCATTTCGTTTTGGAGTCCCACCAGTTACTGCAAGCACCAAAAGTTGCGTCACCTACCGGGCCTACCGTAGCATGATCAATGTGCATTGTAGTGACAGAATTCATGAATATTGTGCAAAATGGCATTCCTAGTACCACTCAGTTTTTTTAATGAGGGCTCCTCGGGAGAGGTACTAATTGGCTATCCAGACCGAGGCGGGGTGGGGTTATCTTACGGGGTCCCATCCTGAGCCTTTGACCGAAAGGGCCTGAGCTGCGAAGCAGCGAAGCGTGATTCTGCCCTCAACGTTCTAATCGTCATTCTGCTGTTTGATCCAAATGGACAACCAAAAGACAGCAACCAAAACCGGCGCACGAAAGTGCATGGTTAATGATTGTAAGAACTGAACTTTAGGAGCTGGTGGCTGGCGTTCCAAGGCTTCCAGGAGAGCCGGAGACTGAGAATTTCAATCTGTTCACCTCAGCTAGAATACAATCTCTCAGGGGGCGACTGCGGACAGTGAGTCGACTTAGTGGCGAGACAAGACAGTCATCTCATCTCTCTCGCATGAAAACCGCTGTTACTGCTTCAGGGCTGCTTTGTCTATGAAGCTCAAGCCCGTCTATTTCAGGGCAGGCCACCAAATTAATGGCCATTCCGCTATCCTCGACAGGTAGTATATATACAGTTGCGCTTCCGGACTTAATTCAAATAACTGTTTTGTTGTCGCTTGCTGTGGTTTATGTCACTTGATTAGCTCAACGTTTCTCTCGGAGTGGGCGACTTTCAAGAAGGCTTCATTCAAAACTCTTGAAAAGAACTTACCGAAACCCATCATCTGGGACTCTATTTCCTTTTTCATTGACCCGCGGTTGTATAAATCTATTCCAGGAGACTTGCTCACATAGATCAGCCTTCGAAAGCCTCTCAGTATATTCGGAGGTGGATGTCTAGGGTTGCGGCTGGTCACCCATTGCACTTCGCCAAATACTCCCATACGACCAAGCGTCTCGAATAGCCTCTGCTGAGGAAGCCCTCCTATTCACTACCTTCTCGTGGGGCGGTGTTTTCCGACCACCAAAGTGGGAGGACGAAAAGCCGACATCCGGGGCTATAACCGAGTTGGTGGACCACCCCTTTAGTAGTTTACCTAAGGGAGTTGACCAAAACCCTGATTCCAAATCAACCAAGAGAAGGTGTACGAACTACACCCATTCCTTTTCGGTTGTGGCAGTGGTCACCGGCTCGATTGGGCACCTTGGATGTTTGACTCTGTCCGAAGGGCGTATGATCCGATGCACTGGACACCGACTTCCAATGGATCGTGGTTTTCACACACCGCCCCCCCCCGCTGCCTTGCGGATCAGGCTTTGGCTAGCCGAAGGCTCCGGTTGTGGATTCCTCAAGAAAATTCACGTACCTTGGCCTGGGCAAACTGGTAGTATTCGGTGCACATGCAAATAATGGACCTGGTTTCTTTTTCATAAATATTATTTTATCATGATTTGTTTGGCATAGTCTGGATTCAGACATGTAAAAAAATATAGGTATATATTTGGCGAAGTGACCAGCCACAACCCCAGGACGCCCATCCCCGGTCATACTGTGCCTTTCGGAGGCCGGGTGCTATTCATCCCAATTTTATCTTATCGTCTGTCATTTGAAGCTCACCTTGGATAAGTCTATCACAACTTGGCTATCATGTTAATTTACGGCATAAATCCGTTTCTCTTTGTTTGTTCACAGCTTTGTCGGACGATCGCGTTCAGCTTCCCACAATGTCAATCATATTGCCTCGTATGCGACTGTCCATTGTTAGGCTAGCCGTCCGTTTGACCCCCAAACAGCAACTCATCCCCGTAACGAGGCTCACTGGTGCAAGATTGTACAGTACCGAGTCTGCATTACCGCAATCCACCATCGATTCCGATGAGGTAGTCAAATTTCGTCAGTTCGCATCCCAGTGGTGGGATCCCAATGGTACGTGTACCCCACACTCTTCGTTAAGTTCCACTTCTTCCGCGGATTGTTCACCTGATCGATCATGTTCATCGATCGGGGAATGTTCCCTCGGGACTGTGTGATGATGGTCGATCAACCACATAAATTTGCACGCAGTCATATAGTTTTATTTTTTCAGCGTTCTTACTTTTTCTGTACGTGTAACTGTTTGTTTAGATTTTCTGTTTTAGCCTTCCGTTGCTTGCATCAGTCCATCGACAGATCGTGTCATTTCTGAGGTGGGTAAATTTGACAGCACTGTTCAATCAAATCCAAACAGAGATACGATTGCGGAATGGTGTGTTTAGATTTCCTGAATACGTTGCCGCACATACACACACACACGGACACATCAAAGGTGGTGTGGTTCAGACTACATCTGCATCCAATCAACCGTGCACTCGAATAGCACCCGACTGGAGATTCACTTCCGGTTGATTCTTATCCGTAGGACACAAAGTTGGGCCCGTCCGAAATAAAATGCACGTGTTTTTTTTCGTGGGTCTATCAGCTTCCATCGAGACTAACGGGGAATCCCCAATCTCCGTTTGTGTTAGGGTTTTTGTATCGGTGAGCCAAATGGTCACGTTTAGGGATGTTGTGCTACCACTCGTCTGGNACTCGTCTGGGTGTGGGTTATATTTCCCGTGAGAGCACAGATTACTGGTTTTCGTTGGTGGTGGTGGCGCAGTGGTTTAGTCTCGCTCTCTCTCTCACCGGCGTGCTTTGGACTCTGTGGTCCGAGGTTCGATCTCCGTCAGCCAACTTTGGTAATGTTGACAGCTTTGCTATCATCTAGTTGAATACGACGTCTAACCTAGCAGCGGGGCCTTATGTGGTTCACCACTCCATGTCCCGAGGGGCTTAGGTTGCCGGACAGCAGATCCTTGTGACTATGGATTCCACCTCGTCTGCTGTTCATCACATTCCGGTATTTAATAAAAACAAATACACACACAACCCAGTCCTAGATTTTGATTCAGTTTGCTGTTCGTGCGATAGTTTCTAGCACGTCCATTTACTGACTAAATATGTCTGTTTTCTAACACTTTTTTCGCGTGCAATACTTGTTTGGGTGTGTTTCACATAAGTCTTTGTTTGGTCACACTGTGTGTGTCAAACAAGTCATAGTATAATAACCATGAGAAAAAAAAAAGAAAGTTCCATTATTTGCATATGGTCGGATTACTGTCAGGTTGCCAAGGCGAAGGCAGGTGAATTTTCTAGAAAAAATTAACAACCGGCGCCTTCGGCTAACCAAAGCCTGACCGGCTACACAGCGCCGTGCGGTGTTCAAAAACCGCAATCCACTGATGACGGGTGTCTAGTTCACCGGATCATACACTCTTTGGATGGGGGTTAAAGTTCTCAGGTGCCCAGTGCACTTCGATACCCATGTGAACTGGTGACCTTTTATCAAAACTGGAAGGTGTGTTTGTGTTTTGGAATCAGGGTTTTTAGCCACCTTCTCTAGTTCTCTAGTAGTTCACCGACCCCCTTTTGTCCCGGATATTGGATTTTCCTCTTCTTATTTTAATGAGTGAAAATATCTCCGCCCTGGGAAGGCAGTGAGTAAGACTTCTACAGCAGAGGCTGTTTGAGACACTTGGTCGTATAGGAATATCGCGTCAGGTGCAAGGAACGATGATCAGCCACAGCCCAAGTCATTCACCCCCTACCATACTGAGGTTTTTGCATACCCTCTATCCTACTCGCAGAACGATTCTGACACACTTAACAGCTTAGCCTGCAGTGTGTGCTAAAATTCTCAATACCCATCCCGCACATTCTTTGTCGATCCGAATTTCTGGTTTCCAAATTCCCCGAATGATAATTTATCCACATTGAAAAGTGATCCATCTATTGTTGTTTAGCGTATCTAATTTTGGTATATTTTCCATTCGTCTGCTATGGGACTAATTACCGAATAAATAAATCAGGCCCCTGTGGTTGCGAATTTTTCAGCGTTTAGATTAAGATTTCTCCATTCACTCTCTCCCTCATTCCGTCCTCGAGTTGTGCTCTTCTCTGCTGATCCTGTTCCATCCGTTTGATCTTCACTCGTTTGACAGGCAGTCTCAAACCCCTGCATTCAATGAATCGTCTTCGCGTGCCCTTGATCCGTGACAGTCTGTGTCCGCCACACACCCATGTGGCGACAATCGCCACACCGACAAACGGATTCGCACCGCTGTCCGGGATGTCCATTCTGGACGTGGGTTGTGGCGGTGGTATCCTGAGCGAGGTAGGTTCATCCGTGTCCGCTCCCGGTTTGGTTTTCCTCTTTGATGTGCTACGCCAGAGCCAGTCATTTCGTAACGCAGTTTTTGCTTTTTGGGCTTAGTTCTCTTTCATGAAGTTCGCATGATACAGAAGGTTCGGTTGGCATTTGCTAACTTAATCTGTGGCGCCGCTGCGACATCCGGATGTCCGTGAAGTGTCGAATGTTTGCTGCTGCAGTGCAACCAGTTCTGCTATACGGTGCAGAAACTTGGTCATCAAGAAAAAAGGATAAAGGTAGACTGTCGGTGTTTGAACTCCGCTGTCCACTCAGCATTGCACGAATTTGGTGGGGTAGCCGGACGAGCAATGCTGAGGTCAGGCGAAAAAGTCGTAGGCAACCGTGGTCATCCGCTGGAGCAAGTGGTCTACCTCCATAGATTACATTGGTTGTGGCACGTGTTACGCATGTCACCAAATAGGTTGCCACGGCGAGCGAATTTTGCCGAGTCAGGTAGTGGGTGAATTAAAGCCCAGGGTGGTCAGGCTATGACGTGGCATGAGGGTATGAAAACCCTAACCAGGAGTCTGGGTCACATAGATTCCGTTAGGCTCCCTGGATGGAGACCTCGGGATAGTCGTACTCCATGTTTAGAGACAGTGATATGGCTGGGTGTCGTAAACAGTGGCGTTCGCGCATCTTGTCGATTTCTCTGCAAAATTAGTGTAATGATATTCTAACTTTTCTCTTCGATCCTACTTTCAACCTTCCATGTCTTTCTCCTAATGTCCATCCAAATGGGCAGCCGAAAGGTAGCAACCAAAACCGGCGCACGATAGTGCATGGTTAATGGTTGTGCTAACTGAACTGAACATTCGGATCAGTGTTTCTTGAAGACGAATCATGACCAAAAGCAGCTCACAAACGATCAACCATTTACTGCTGCTACTTTGAACCACATTTGTAGTCGTGGCAAATCCACGCCGTCCAGCGTGACATCGACTGAGTACCATCGTTACATTCCGAGTGAAGCGGAAACCGTGCTATGACTCTCTCTCTCTCTCTCGGTTGTGTTGTGATATTTGGTTCTCTCTCTCTGTGTGTGTGTGTGTGTGTGTGAGTTGCAATCCCTGAACAATATTCATAATACTACAG